GTTTTTTTAAATATAGAAGTGTATGCAAAAACTTCGAAAATACTTTATAGGAGTCAAAATGAGAGAATATTTTATATAATTATTGGTTTGAAAATATTTTACTACACAACTCTGATAAAAATATAAAACGTGAAGACGATAATGACACTCTTGCCTCTAATATGAGAATATAAAGTTGATAATGTTTATCTTATTCTGTTATTTAAGTTGTGTTTATTACCATGCAAGTTGTGTAACGTACCATGCAAGTTATGTTTAGTTATTAATGTAGCTCTGTAGATTATTTTTATTCATTTCACTTTCATTTTTATCTTTCTGTTTATTACTTAATTTTAACAGGCATCAATTATGTGAATCTGAGATACTTGCCAATAAAGCAGTATTGTAAGTATTTATATTAAATTAATGTTAATGAATGTCTTAAATAAAATTATTATGCAATTATGTATATAATACTTCAAGATGTGAAATAGGACAAAACTATTTTCTCATCTTGACATTTGTTTACTTTCACATAATGCGTCACAATTTGTTCGTAAAATTTGTGTTTGTTTATATAGAGAAATTATCATTATCTTGATCACATTATAGGATTCTAAAGTTTTAAAGAATAATAATATAGTTATAAAGTAAAAAATATAGTTATAAAGAATATTTTGTAAGATACAATTCTGCCGATCGTTTAATATTGATAAAGTGAAAATTTGTGTTTAACAAACACATATCTCACAGAAATGATGTAGAAATAAAACAAAAAGTGTACGTAAAATGTCATTAACCGTATTATTATATTGGCATTTTTATTTCTAAAGTGTGCAATTGTTAAATAGTTACATAATTTATTTAATTATTGTTCAGAGTACATCTCGAGACGATGGCGGCAATCAGTGCAGACGCATGATATTCGTATATTTTAAATGCTGATATTTTTTTAGGTTATCAATGTTGTATTTTTATAAACGTTTAAAATTTTCGTGATTTAAGTAATCCATTACGTCATTAATTATGTGTTATCATTAACACTTATTTCACATTTTTAATTATAACCTTGGTAAGATGTAAGTAAATCACAATAAAATTCGTATATTTCTACAGTTATTTCTCATGATAGTTATTAGGTTAATGACATTTACATCTGAACATTATATTAATATTTATACAGGGTGGAACATTTGAATGGAAATATCTAGATATCGACGTTATTTATAGATGTATGAAAATCTGTTTAAGGTAAAGTTAAACTGTTCGAAGAGGAGAAAAGAAAATAAAAGAAATATTCCCTTCGAGGTAATTTTATCCGAGATTTCAAGGTTGTCGACGTTTTTTCTTTTCTTTAACGGAATCATATTTCTTCCATATTCTCGTAGGGAATAAAAAGGACAAATTCAGTTACTACAATAATCTCCTAAATATTTAGGTACGAATATATGCATTAATATGTCATAGTTACTTTTAGAAAATATTAATTGTGGTTAAATGATCAAAACGATGCATTGTTACAGATAATTGAATCTATCTTTCTATTCTTTATAAGATTATGGGAACAAATGTACGATTCAAAAAAATAAATAAATCAATAATTTTGAAATCTCGAAAAATAAAAAGATCTTGAGGGAATTTTATCTTTCTTCTTTGAACAGTTCAATTATTCTGCATTAAACAATTGTTCTTCATATTTATATCTATAGATAGTGAGCGGTGTGTTACAATATTATACTTATTCTACAGAATGAGTTATATAAAGCCTAATATTGAAAGAATTTATCCCGAGATAAAGGTAGAATTGTTATTATCTTTGTATACATTATTTTGGAATTTTGTGATAATACATATCTTCAGTAAATCGTTTGCTAAAGAAACAAGAAATTTTTATTATGATTCATTAAATTTGATTAGGTTAGAGAGACAGTATGAAACATCTCTTCTGTAGAAGTGTACAAATGATAAGAAGAAAATCGTTCAAGTAGTACATTTTATTATTCGTCACTCGGGCACTGTTAATTTTTTAATATTATAACTGACATTAATTATCAAAATCGAATCAAATATTCATTCAGTTTAATATTTCACTATTCTTTATTAAACTTCCAAAAATATTCGACCAATTAAATACAAAAATACTGATCAGAATATTTAGCATATTTTTCTATTCAATTTTGTTCACATCAAATCCGTTATATTAATGCGAATTTATGATGCTACCGACACACGAGATAACTCGAGCGTTGTAACAAAAAATATAATTCTTTTTAATAAATGATTCGATATTAGAATGACTCCACTTAAATTTTGGTACACCTGCTGTATGCATTGGCACCGCCATCGTCTAATAAGCCCATCGAATGTCATCAATTTCCCTCTCTACTTCCGTTTCTTGCGAAACTTCCGCTGCTTGCCCGTTAAGAGGTTTACACCTTATGCATCGACGAATGCAATCAGACGTAGTCGCGGTGTCACCGAAACTGTATTACCACTAATTCCTGTCTCCTATTTATTTGCGCAGCCTGCCAAAATGGTCTGGGTTACCATCCACGATCAGGTATTACTACATCTGAGTAATCAAATCAGTGGATAAACTTAATTTGCAGTGATTTTATTTTGTGTACTGCTAGTCTTTCTTTTTCTTTTTTTTTGTCGTTCAGATCGTTTTTTTTTTTTTCTTCTTTATCGCACATGGTATATACTGTTCTCTGCTGCGTTCGTTTAGCGTGTTTACGCAAAACGTTTGCGAATACTACAAGCACGCGGTTCCAATTTTCGAACGAAGTATCAGCCTGTGTAATTTTGTGACACTGCTTTAACGTGTGACAAATATTAAATATATACATCTGTCGCTGTTCCACTTTGCACGCGGTCCTCACTTTCGCTTTATCCTGGCTGATTCGAGAAATACTAATTCCTTCGTCACGATACGTTGTACTATAAAAAATTGTGTGATTCATTAATTTTTCGATACTCGAATCAGTCTTTGAAGCTTGTTCGTGATAGCAGCTGAGAATAAATTTGTTACGTGTACTTAAAAAAAAAAAATGAAAATTGAATGAAAATTAAGCCTACAATGGCAAACGAAAACGTGTTTGTGTTGTAATATTGAATGTAATATTCGCAAACATTTTTTATGTGGTTTGCTTTAAAAATGTGAGCCTAACTCTCTTTCAATTTGTTGATATTTGGTGCTTGCTTAGCTTCTGTTGTTTCTTTTTTTTTTTTCGTATTCAATTCGATTTGTTTGATATTTGTAGTATTTTTAATCGAATAAGTGTGGTAAGTATTACTATGAAAGTACGACTTGTTATTGTAACTTTAGGTTGCAACTGTGATTATTTAGAAAATCATGGTTCTTATTTATTTTTCGCATGATATGTCTGTGTAGTCGAATTGTCGATTTCAGTATTCTCGCCACTTAAATCAGTGGCTTTTGTTACCGTTATGTTACCTAAATGTTCTTTTATTTTTTGATTGTATTAGTATTTCTGCATCATTGACAATGGGACGTGATGAATGTGTACAAAGTTGAAAAAACTTATCGAATTTTTCGACATAATTTTCACTGAACGATAGTTATTTGAATATGAAAAATTCTTTTTTAAAACTTTTTTTTAAAAATTGTATATTTTCATCGGTAAATGTTGTTTGGATCAGTCTTTGCTGTACGAAACATAGAATTTCAATGGAAAGGTTTTTTTCTTGGACAAGAAAAGGTGTCTTCAAACATTTTTTGAGTTAAGTAGTAATGTATAATCTGCTTTCGGCCATCTTTAAACACGTTCGCATTTAGATCTTAACCAATCCAAGGGAAAACTTCTCATAAAGCAAAAACTAAATTTACATTTAAATTTTTGCTTAATTATTCTTTGCTTCGTTTTGTTTCTGATTGCGTAAAAATACAGTTGACGATTTCTGTTGCGTTAATTTTCATATGAGCACCTCTGTAACGAGAGTGGACTTAAAATTGATCTGTGATTGTATCTCGTTAATCAGAAATCGAGAATTTGATTAATTTAAGAACTCTTGTAGTACTTCAAGTAGATGTATTATTTGTAAATTACGATTATCAGGTAGATAATCTTTTCATGAATCTTTTCTTAAGAACAATCTGCTTATCGTTAATTATTAAAAAATTCCTACTGTAAATTTACGATTTTCTTTTATGCATTGCTTACTTAACCTGTTAATTGATAAGGAACGAGTTAACTGGTTCATCAGTACATAGAACACAATAATTTATGTATCGAAGAATTATTAATTTTGAATTGTACTGTTGTGCCTGTGTTAAATATGAAATATTATGTCACTCCGTAAGTTTGTGCCAAATATTTTAATTAATATCCAAGGAAATACTATATCGACGACGTAATGGTCTTACCAAAAATTTAAAAAAAAGAAGAAAAAAGTTGCAGAATTTGATTATAAGAGCTAGAGTGATTTAATTTCTGTTCGAGAAGTGAACTCAGTTAACAGGTTAACGCATAGCCAAGGTCCTGTTTTACGAAATTAAGTCCAACAGTCTGCATTGTTGCTAAAGTTATTTATAGCGTGGTAGATACAGTAAAATCTCTTTGAAAAGCAAGATCGAAAGAGACACGACGCACCAATGAGAATAAAGCTTATCGTCCATTAAGAATGATAAAAAATACGTTTTATTGGTTTAGCTGGTGACAATGGTTTTTACATATGTACAAGAGGTGTAAGTTTGGTATAATAATAGAAATATGAAGTACAATTGTAATCATGTTGCATTCTACTAGCAAACATTCTTTTTGCAAGTAGCAGTTTATAGTAAAATGTGATATTATAATTAATGAGTTAGATAAGAATTTCAAATATTCCCTTTTGTGTGTAACAATTTGAAACAAAAAATACAAATGGTAATCTTGAAAATTCATTGAGGAAAAAAAGACGATAATGTAAATTTATGATGTTGAAACTTTAAGAAATAAAATATTCTTCAAGTTAAACATTAGTTCTTTTTAATTTTTTCTTCTTTTTTTTCATGACTGTTCGAAATTTTACACATTTATTAATTTATAGTATTGTTATTTTTTCCTTCTCTAGTTGAAACAATACGCGAATTCTGTTAAACAGATAAGCTTTGATTAAGGAAAATTGTTATTTTGAAGTGAAATTGTGATTTTTATTATAACAATGAAATATTTATTTATTTCACTAGTATTGTAAAAACAAAAAAAAAAAAATAGAGATATTGTAGCTACTTTTAAATGATCTTTTGCATTTAAAAGTGCACGATTATATTGTCACACGATGTGGAACGATTTTTTTTATACGATCCGTCATCGGCAACCGAATCGTTCGATCGATGGTTCGTGTGTGATAATGTTGCCTGATTTTTTACAGTCCTACATATATGCATAGAGTGTTAATGGCCAAGGACACTGTAAAATATTATTTAAAAAAAAAAATTACTATTAAGAAATTTAAATGTGTTACTGCCACCATTCCCAAATAATTTTACCAATGCCTTAAAATGAAATATCAGTTAATTTATTACGTATAAATGACTGTTGTGAAATATGTGCGAAAAACCATTCTTTTCTACCTTTATATGTCATTTTTGCACAATATTTTTTACACATTTATACAATTGTATAATACTGCAGCAATTTTTGCATAATGTTATAAATATATAATTTAAGCATGTAATTTTTTCATTGTCAACATTAACGCACGTGGTTTAGGAATAAATTATTAATTCTCTATAATGTATTTCAAGTTGAAGATTTAATTGATCATCGAAGTTGCATGAAAATTTAATTCACTTATCCGTGTAATATGGTTTCATTTTTGTAGTATGCATGTTTAAGAAGAACAGTGGTTTATGGTGAAATTTAACTTGAAATTGTTTCACAGTCAAGTTTTTATATTAACAGATAGATAAATTATTATACCAGTACATAGTAAATTCAGTTATCTTTATGACAATATTTTGCGTACTTTCATGTGTTACGTGAAATTTAAATTCGTTAACACTACTAACATTAGCTAAATCAATTTGCATGGAGGACACCTCAACCAAGGTGTTACACGTTGTAACTAAAGACTATTAATGGTGGTGGTGAAATTTGATTTTTTTTTTTTCTTTTTCTTTTCTATTACTGTTTGTTATGATTTTTATTATCACTAACAAATTACTACTACTGATCTCCACTGTGAGGGAGAAGAGGGATTGCAGAATAGCTGTATTTAATTTTGATAACACTTATCTTTCCTACTTTT